GATTTCTGATATTTATATATATGTATATATATATAGATATAGATATATAGATATCTGATATATATATATATATATATGTATATATATATATGTATATATAGATAGATAGATATATATAGGTATAGATATAGATATAGATATATATATATTATGTCTGTGTCTGCGTCTGTTTCTGTGTCTGTGTCTGTGTCTGTGTCTGTATCTGTCTGTGTATGTGTCTGTATATATATATATGTGTGTGTGTGTGTGTGTGTGTGTGTGTGCGTGCGTGTGTGTGTATGTATACATATATATATATATAGATTTATTTATATATATATGTGTGTGTGTGTGCGTGTGCGTGTGCGTGTGTGTATATGTATCTATGTATCTATGTATGTATATATATATACAGAATATGTCTTCGACACTCATCTCTTTTATAGCCAGAGTATGACTTGGTGTTGGTGTTGGCGTTAGCCTTGTTGTTGTAATAGCCCGTCGAACAGCTGCAGACGGTATACTAATAAAACCAGTAGTCTCTTTATCACACAACACAACTCTATAGCCCTCCACTAAGTTCTCGCATCCATCCACATCTCACTGAAACTGAACCAACACATCCCCCATAAACCCTCTCTCCTCTGCACACAATACACACACACACACACACACACACGTACGTCTCACAGCCGATGTGTGGCGAAGGCATCGAGCGTCGTTTGTGAAGCTGCAGGCGCTTCTGGGCGATACACAGAGTCGTGGAGTGGTGTTCATGAGCGGTGACGTCCATTTCAGTGAGCTCTCCTGCTGCGGCGACGAAAAGTGCGCGGCCGTAGGTGTGTCGGGGTGCTTTTTAGAGTATGGGTGTGTATTAGCGTGTCCGTGTAGGTGTGCACACGGGGGTTAGTCATAACACACGCGTACATGGTATATAAATAGATAGCTGCGTACATGAATCCGTGCGTGCCGTGTTTAGTATTCTCACGTGCACGTTTCCTTCTGTGGCCGTATAGGGTCTATGCAGCTGTTAGGATGGCATCCCTTGCCAAACCTCACATCTTTCTAATTAAGTAATGTATATACAAGTTACATGAAGTATGCAAGTCCCCAATTAAGTATATATCTACGTTACATGAATTATATAAGTACCTTGTAGTCGTCTGTTGTATAGCCGTTCGCTCTGCCCGTACACGTGTGCAAAGGGAGACGCATGAGCTCCCCCTGATTACCAGTATTCTTCTCCAGTTGCACGTTGCATGTGTTCAAGACTCTTGCCATATCCCTGTCTATTGCTCTACGATGAGTGTAGTCATTGGCCCACTCTCCGACACACTCTTTGTGGGTGTATGTTTTCTCCGTTCTCTCCGCTCTCCTTATCTTCAATGTGTGTATGCTTCCCCATTCTCTCCCCTCACCTTATCTTCCTACTATCTCTCCACCTGTGTACCACCAACACCATCCCGTCTGTCAACCATTGCGTCTGTTAGGCTATCCACTATACGATCTAACGTCGAGTGGGTTGACGCACGCGTGCTTCGACGGCTGGACTAAAGGCGAGGTGTGCGAGACGGCGCTGAGGTGGTTAACCTGGGCCTCGTATCGTATTGGTGAGGTGTGTACTTATGAATATGTAATGTTTAGTTGTATGGTGATGTTTGAGGTTTTCTGGTATAGGACCTTGGCCACCGTATCTTTCGATAAGGCGTGTATATAAACGTATTTAATGTAATTATTGCGTTGGTGTATAGGATGTACTAGTGTGTGTACGCATTGGAAAACCCTATGTTAACGCATGTGTGCGTTAAATAGCTCCGGCTTCGCAGGCGCAGCCATCCAAATTACCCGCACGTACATCGTACCATGTGCTAAAAGCTTGCTTTTCACCCAGTCAGTGCTCTGATACTAGTTAAGTAGGACTGAGGTAAGAGTAAGGTGTTTCGTAACTATACACACGCTTTGGAATGCGATTCAACGCAACGCTTTAATACTCATACGACATGCTGAAGCGCTTGACGTGCATCACAAGTGTATACTAGGCTGCACACACGGCTGCACACACGCCTACCAATGTAGACGTATAACGTTTTGAAGCCCCTATTTAAAACAACCCATGCTCGACTATCTGCCAGGTACACGGAGTGGAGAACTACGCCAAGATCAGCATAGACTGGGATCGTGGTGAGCTGAGCATGGGTACGTATGACATGGGGGACAGGGTGCTGACAGACGCCACAATCCGCATCGCCGACCTAGTGCCAGGTATCTGTATCTGTCTAGTTCGTTGCTATGGCAATTGTCAAATAAGTGAATCCGTGGGCACTCAAATTTGCCTGATAGGATGCGAGGTGGTTATTCAGTGTAGGTATGAGGGTCTGGGGGGAACCTGAGGCGTTCATAGTCCTTGTATCGAATGGTGTAGGCTATCTGCGTACTGGTGCGAGTGTGGGTAGCGCATAGTGCATGGTGGGTTTTAGTGGTGTTATGTCATAGGTTGATAAGGTAGTCGAGTGCAACGGTTAAGGTTAGTATAAGATTGGCTGTTATACTTCGAGTGACTAGCCTTGTACGACAAACTAGCCATTGCAAGTTCACACATTTGTTCTTCAATTTTTGCATCCCGCAATCACAATCAGATTCGTCCGGGGAAAGCGTTCTATGGGTATTCCCAAATTATATCCAATTATTACACTTTAAAAAGAACAAACAAGATTATTTGGAAGATTACTTCATCCTCGACATAAATCATATTTACTTCTTACTAGAATTGGGTAAATAGAAGGCTCTCAGTGGATATTTCAAACTGTCATCAGTTCATTTCAAGCTAACCCAGGATAAGTAGAGAAAGACGCCCGTGCAGAATAGATTTGTCTTTCTCGTTCATGCTAGCACATCCCACCCTATTCCATACCAATAGATTCGTCTTTCTCGTTCATGTTAATATATCCCACCCTATTCCATACTTAGGATCGTCTCAAGGCAAAGTCCTTAACGGCTGCCCTGTAGATCGCATGCACTACTGGTTGAACGAGCGCTTCCGCTTTGTGCTGGCGGCGGTGGGTACCAGTCTAGCTGTGTTTATCGTCTTATTCATCATGCTGTTGACGAAGTGCATCAGAAACACCTTCTGCGGGTCGTGTTATGATAAGGAGGGCACTCCAAGGTATGGTCCTGAACGTTCCCAATTCGGGATTGATATATGTATATATATATATATATGTGTGTCTGTGTCTGTGTCTGTGTCTGTGTGTTTGTGTTTGTGTTTGTGCGTGTGTGTATGTATATATATATGGACAGCTGTGGCTTGATTTTAGCTATCATTTCAAACCTGTTCAATTGTATGACCATAAATCATTGTTTTCAGTGTAAGTTTCTGATTAGGCTGTGCGTTGTGGTTGTTTGCCTTTGTTTGGAGGGTAATTCATAGCTCATTTATGTAACAATGTGTGTTGGTTGTGTGAGTACAAACTCAGTAACAGGTATAGCCTTGAGTTATAGCTCGCACATACTGGTTTGTTTTTCTTCCTTCGCATTTCCAACTAAACCGAACGTATTGATTCACATTGCTGAATGTCCTTGATCTTCAAAGTGTCAGCTCAGCTCGAAGTGACGGTTGGAGTGCTGGATATACTATACTAGCAAGAGCAAAGTATTTGCACATTGTATGCAGTTCACGTATTGATTCGTTCGCGGTTTTGTCTTGGGTTTTCAGATTCAAAGTGTATGTCGATCCGAGGGAGCGCGCTGAGTCGGTTCTCGGTGAAGACACGGAGGAAGAGGCTTATTCGGACTACAAACGAATAGATGAGAAGAAGAAGAAGAATTAGGGTGACTTGTACTTCAGCACCAAAGCACAAATACATAGTACATACGATTGAAATAAAGTGAGCAATGATAAAGACTACGGCATGCTGTCCCTTCGACTACCAACCACATATATACGCCATTTTTATCAGACAATCAGACGCACGAGGGAGTTGAGAAGGGGCTATCCCCACACAACAGGGCCTATCACATGCCTACAAGAATAAACTACACAAATATGACGCATTCTATGAAACCAGGGAAAGCGCTGTGTATGTGTGTTTGTATTCATTTCCTTGGTATAACTCTCTATACTTTCAATAGAAGAAGACCTGTGCTGAGTATGTGTCCTTGTCTTTATACCTTGGTATATCTTTCTTTACCTTCAATAGAAGGAGACCTGTGCTGTGCGTATGTGTTCGTCTTCATTTCCTTGTTACATCTCTCTCTACGTTGAATAGAAGGAGACCTTTGCTATATATCTGTCTTGGTCTCTACTAATTGGTATATCTCTCTTTATTTTCAAAGCAAGGAGATATGTGCTGTGTATATGTGTTTGTTTTTTATTTATTGGTTTATCTCTATTTGCTTTCAATAAAAGACCTGTGTTATAAATTGGTCCTTGTCTTTACTAATTCGTATCTTTCTTTACTTTCAATTGATGGAGACATGTCCTGTGAATGTGTTATTGTATTCATTTCCTTGGTATATCTCACTTTACTTTCAATAGTAAACAATATGTCCTGTGTATGTGTCTTTGCCTTCATTTCCTTGGTATATCTCTTTTTATTTTTAATAGAATAAGACATGTGCTGAGTATGTGTCTTTATCACCATCCCTTGGTATATCTCTCTTTACTTACAATAGAGCGTAACATGTGCTGTGTATGCGTCTGTGTCTTGATATCTTTGGTATATTTCTCTTTACTTTCAATAGAAGGCGACCTGTACTGTGTATGTGTGTCTGTCTTCATTTCTTTGGTATATCTCTCTCTACTTTCAATAGAAGGAGACCTGTGCTGTGAATGTGTCTTTGTCTTCATTTCCTTGATATGTCTCTCTCTATTTTCAATAGAAGGAGATATGTGCTATGTATGTGTGTTTGTCTTTTATTTATTGGTATATCTCTCTTTGCTTTCAACCCGTGCTCGCCATAGCCCGCCACACACGCACTTGTCACGCCATCGGTCTGCCCACCGCGTGGGACTGTTCGGTACTTCGTCCTTCATGTCGCCCAATAAGGAAGGTAGCGCTGAGCGCCCACATGTGACACACTGGCGAACGGTGTGCTGCAAGGGGGATGGTGTACGAGTAAATATGATGTCTTTAGGGTTTTAGGGTTTTAGGGTTTGGGTGCGAAGGGTCTATTTATGTAATGGTTATATATTGTGGATAGACAGATAAATCGCCTGAGAGATGGAATGGCTCGATCCCTATTGACTTGACGGATTTGTTCCTTTTGTTGTGTAGTTGCGTATGGTGCTCAGATGAAGTGAAGTGAGGTAGAGCTAGACCACGATTGAAGAGCTACCACAGATTAACCATCCGTTTGGTATGTAGGCTGTCATGCACAACTTTCACTGGGCGTGCCTGTGTAGTGCGAGGTGTACTCCAGAGGACCTGAATAAGCTCTAAATATTTTGATGAATGTATGTATGTATGTAGGTATGTATGTATGTATGTATGTACGTACGTATGTATGTATGTATGTATGTATGTATGTATGTATGTATGTATGTATGTATGTATCTATCTATCTATC